GGCAACCCTATTACTACGTCGACCTACAAATCGCACACTAAACCCAGCGTGAATGGCAAAGTAATGAACAACTTCCTGAAGAACAGCTCCCATTCGATTGTCACTGGTATCCGCCTGATTGATCTTATCAATTTATATTAGAAAATGTTTATTTTTGAAAAAAAAAATCCTTTAAACTCCAGTTTTCCTCTTTGGTGAAGAAGCCTGTAGAAGTAAGGATTGGGGCATAGAGTTAAATTCGCCGTTAGTTCTAACGGGTGGATAACAAATTGTGCAATGTTTGTGATCGTTCATGTTTTGTAGCGTTTAATGCTTTCAAAACTAAAATTTTGTTTTCTTTAAACAGAAGGATGAGAGAATTTGGTTATATTAATTTACAAGCTAAATGAGCATAAGATTCCAAGTTCACGATAAGGATGGAAAGATTAAACAAAACGTATAAAGTTTGATAGATCTAGGCAAACTCTGCCCCGGTGGAGAAATTAGTAACCTATTTCAAGGACAGATGCGTTCGAAAGTTATATGTGACCTGAAGTGTTAATTAAAGTTGAACTGTAAACAAGTCTTTGTTAATAATAGAGAAAGATGTTGGAAGCATCTTTAACGGATAAGAACAACCGTTTGGCATTTCACTTATCCACTAGTTAGGTAAAAGGGTTAAATGATCCCTATATTAATGATAATGTCCTTAAACTATCAAACATACTCATTAGAGTCCTCAAGTATCATGCTCATTAAATTCCTAGTGGTCGTTTAGATAGGAATTTGGTTGCATACCATTATCCAATTCTACATAACATGGAATTTTAGCAAAATTATTTGTTTTGATGGTTGCAGAATTTTTCATGTGACGAAATTTGAAATCACGTAACTGTAAATTCTTAAAAATAGTTGCCCTTAAATTTTTTGAAATCTCATATTTCATTTTGATTTTTTTCCAAATCTCTTCCTAAACATTTTCTTAAAACCTACAACTAATCTCACCCACACAACTAACACCTTTCGTCATTCTCTAACTCCTTCTATCCTTCGATCTTCCCCTTCTCCCTCTCCATCACCGGCCGTCGACTCATCTTTTTCTTCCTCTCTCCTCCGGCATCACCACCCATCATTAATGACATCTCCACAAATCATTGTTGTAAAGATTCAAGCAAACAATAAAGAACATTGTGATTTAACGTGGCATCCTTGAGATTCGGGACAAGTCCGCGTGAGAGACGACTCTCTCAAAGATGTTTCACTATACTGAAGACATTCCTGATAATAACCGCGAATATCCCGATCACCCTGAACAAGACGACTCATCTCACCCTCCAACTCAAATTGACGAGAAGCACTGTTTCGAGAATAAGTAGCATTAATCTGAGCCCACATCTCATGAGCATACCGAAAACGACGTAAGCTGAGGGTCGTAGGGATATCAACAGAACCAGCTTCCCAATAAGCAATCACCGCAACATCAGAACCCGCCGTCGGAGCTTTGGATTCGCCGGTCAAAAACGGAAAAAGTCACTTACCCACAACAAAGTTGCGAAATTGAAATTCCAAAATCGAAAAATTGCGGCCATCAAACTTGACTGTGACCAACTCCATCTTCGACAAATCCATACCATAAGAGCTTCGCAAACACAGAAGGACCATCCAAGAACAAGACCCAAAAACAGCAACAACTCAAGAGAACAAAAACGGAGAACCCTAGAAGCAATATTGACACACACACACAACATAAACCAGCGGCAAGGGACAACCAAACGTTGCAATACCACACAGCCAAGGAGAACGTACTAACCTTTAGAGAAGAGGCTTTGATACCATGTAAAAAATCAAGCAAACAATAAAGAAACCCGAGATTTAACGTGGTATCCCTGAGATTCAGGACTAGTCCACATGAGAGACGACACTCTCGAAGAGGTTTCACTATATCGGCTCAACTACAGAGTACAATGGACGTGGCCTATATATAGGGTTTTAACAATTGTCATCTCCTTTCTTCCTCTCATCCTCTAACCTCTCCCTTCTCCCTCTACAATCCTTCGTCGTCCTCCGATTTACTCAACTCTACATAGATGATGAGGAAGTCATGTCGTAGCCACCTCATTGTCGAATGCTGAGTCACAGATGAAAAAATGTATGGTCGTTAATATTGACAGTTAATCCAGATTTTGAGACAAATTTGTTTATTTTTTTTCAAAATTAGGCATAACGGCATAACTTTCTTATTTAAAATTTTAGACCTAATTATAGGAAAAGGAAAGTTTAGACCAAAATTATCATTTACCTCCAAAATAGGAACAAATTAGAGTATTGTCCATAATTTTTACCATGAGGAATTTCACATGTCAAGAGAATTTTATCATGGGAGGATTTGGCAAGGTTGGTTGTACTTGTACTAGCTTAAAAGTTTAGCAAAATGCATCTACATAGACGCAAAATTTGAGTTTAATAATATTTCATTTTGGAGAAATATTTAAAATAGCTAGAATTTTGGGATGATTCTATGACAAATTTAGTCATTTTTGTTACAAACTTTAACGTGTTATAAGCACCGTTAGTTGTTTGTAACAGTACGATGACAAATCAGCCTAAAGTGACATGTAGATGACACGTCATATTTTGTTTTAAAATATTTAATTAATTTTTCCCCTCCCCATTTATACTGTACCATCGCCGCCATATCAAACGCCTACTCTGGCCCACTACCTCCTCCAGCGTTGTCGCTCCAAAATCCAATTCCATTTCCGCCATAATTGTCGATGCTAGAGCCATATCTCATCCATTGGTGGGTCTAGGGGGAGGCCACTACCGGTTCATAGCACAACCCTCCTCTGAGTCCATGGATAGTATAGCAAACGACACATCTTGCTTCTGCCCCTAACCGTCTCTTTCGGTCCAATGTTAATCGGTATTTAATTTTATATTCAAATGTGGTATAGTGTTCTACTATATCCTGGATCTGTCTTTGATCCATCCTAATTCCGTCACCACTACCACTACCAGCATCATACCCTACCCCAAACTCCACCAGTCCGTGGCCCAGAAGAGGAAGGCGTTGTAATTTGGAAGGGATAGAGGGATTGGGAAGGTCGATAATCGTCTCCGATTTAGAAATTCAAAATCATAAAACAAAGTTCTTGTCGGCGATGGCCTTTGCACTGCAACCTCGTTGGATCGAAACTCTTGGGCGAGTCCTTCATATTGATAGCATACCTGGACGACGCGGCGAAAGGGGTGGGAGGCGACAATGATAGAAGAGGGATTTGGAATAGGGGTTTTAGAAGAGAATATGATATCCTTGATTTTTGAAGAGGTTGAGGAAAATGATGGAATTCAATCTATATTGAATGGGAGTGGCTTTATGGGTTACGCCGCTTCTAATGGTTCCACGAAATCATGAGGGGAGAGATGTGATGATGATGGTAGATTCTAGATGTGGCGGTGACCGCCAGTAGAGAAGGATCATGTGTCTGTCGCTAGATTATCCTCCGATGTCGTCTGGTACTCGATTATCCTTCAATTCTCCTTCTTTGATGTCTCTCCAGGCCTCGGATTTGAGGCATCAAGGAAGAAGGCGGCGGTTAAGTCCTTTTATTGTCGTCCTCTGTGGGAGAGAAGACAGATTTGATTACGGATCCAAATCGCGACCCGACAACATTGAGGGAGATAAAGGGCAGAAGAGGGGACATTTCATTGTGGTAGGGATTGAGGGAGATGAAGGACAGAGGAGGCGGAGGTGGATTATTATTTTTTATGGTTTTTTCTTTAACTCAATTAGAATAAAATGACAAAAATCCAGCAAACAAGTTAATAAAAAAAAAAACTTACATGTGAGCAAAAAAATGTTAGTCTAGTCAACTTGTTAGATGACACCGTTAAAAAATTGAGCAAAATTAATTATTTTGTGTATTTCTCAAAAGTGACTACTATTGTCAAAAAATCGAATGTTATGGGTATGAAAGTGTATTTTGCCTAAAATTTTCAACAAAGCGTCAAAGGTATTGTGCAAAAACGGGATGGGTTAGAGTGGATACTAGTTTTTTAGTAACCATTTTGACAACCTACATCTAAACCCTTAATTAGCTCTATTTTTTCATTTTTTTAAAATAACGGTCAATATTATATTAATGATAATTTTGGAATAAAAATATTAATATTTCAGATTATTACCATTATTTATAATTTACTATATCCTTCCTTTTCCCAAACAATAAAATGTATCCATCTCCCTCTCTTTTTGATAAGAAACGGCGGCCCTTACTTTGCTCCTCTCACCTCTCCCCCTAAAATGTAATTTATTAGAAAAAAATTAATAAATATTGCTTATACCCAATTTGCACTTAACAAACATGATGATTACTTTTTTTTTTTTTTTTGAAAGGACAAACATGATGATGATTACTAATTTATAGTAATCACCGTAACCCCTCACTGCAAAAACAAACACCTCTCTAGCTAGACAAGTAGAAGTTTATCTATTTTTAGTAATGCTCTGCCTACCATTCTCGGTTAAAAGAAAAGGACAAAAGACCACCAAGTTAGTCTTCCACTCTTCCTACAAGATTATTAAATTACCTTGTTTCATTATGGAGTCATAATGACTAAATATTAAAAGTCCTTGTTTCATTATGAAGTCATTCTTAATCATAGTTTTAAGCTTGATTATTCACTTTTAATTAAGACCGCAATTTTCTTAATGACAAGATAGCTCACTTGGTGGATTGGAACTTAGAAGACCCTTTCTTTGTTATCATATGCTTGGGTGATTCTGATTTTTGCGATCAGCTCTTAGCAAAATTGTCGACATTAAATTTATATTTTGTTCGTATTCAAAGCAGTCTTTTGACATCTTTTCCTATCTTCATTTTAATTAGCATCGTCAAAATAATTTTTGTAAAATGTTCTAACACCAATATATCGTACATTGAATAATTCAAATCGTTAGGGGTTCAAAATTCAAATAATAATTCGGTGGATCCACTGGAGATAACAGAGCACACCATCCAACATAACTTCCCTACCTTACAGTTGATACATTCATGGTGTAGAGAGGAGGGTGTTGGGCTAGTATAAATAAAACCATAGATAAGAAGGTGGAATAACAGGATATATTAATTTGATATTTCCCCAGTTGCCCTCTGCATCTTTAATAAACCATCGCTCCCTCCATTCCGTCTTAAACTAAGACACTAACAAAAACAACAAAGAGAGAAAACGAAACTTCTCCGCTGAGGCATCCTTGTGCGCAACGTAGATACGTTGAATAAAGCCTCCGCGCATTTGGCCGTTTGCCGAAACAAGAGTACTAATCAGCCGGTGAGACCATGATTCGAACGGCTTCATCGATCCGAACTTTGGTTCAGTCTCTTCGAGCCATCTCTTCTTTCTCCCAGGTTCAAGCTTTGGCGATTTCCTTCCCCTGCTCTCCCTCCATATACGCTCTTGGTTTTGATTGGCTCAACCAATTCCTTCAATATATAATCTACTTGCCTTACTGTTTGGGTTTTCGATTGGTTGTGATTTGCTTGCTCCGGATTGGTTTGAAGTTCGTTTGGCGTAAAGCCACTGTTTTTAACACCGGTTTTCGCTCTGGCTGGATCAATTCGATGACAGACTGGAGTTGGAGCTCGAAATTCATACAATTCGGGTGCTGTATCTTCCCTGCAACAAGTTATTAGGCCATCTACTTACGGGTAAGATTGCGGGTCCCTGCGTTTCATAGCTTCTGTTCATCGAAGGACCATGTGCTCTGTTTCTTTTTACTCTGTTTCGTTGAGTTTTTTTTTTTTTTCCCTTCTACCCATTTCTTTGACTTGTTTCTTTGTTGTCCCAGTGAGGATGAGTACGCTGACGTGGATTGGGATAATCTTGGGTTCGGAATCACCCCAGCTGATTACATGTACATAAACCAGTCAACAAAAGATGGAGAATTTCATCAAGGACAACTCAGCCGCTATGGTGCTCTCGAGCTCAGCCCCGCTGCTGGAGTTCTCAACTATGGCCAGGCAAGTGATCAATAAAACAAGAACCCAATTCAGGTTTTGAGATTCCATTTCATTTTTACCGGAAAAGGAAAAAGCTTGACCTCGGGAAGACAAATATGGATTCAGGGACTTTACGAAGGCACAAAAGCGTACAGGAAAGAAGACGGGAGACTACTGGTGTTCCGTCCAGATCAAAACGCTCTGCGGATGAAGATGGGCGCCGACAGAATCTGTATGCCTTGCCCTTCCGTCGATCAGTTCGTTGACGCCGTTAAGCAAGTTGCTCTAGCCAACAAACGCTGGGTAAAACACTAAAAACAGAATTCTTCCTCTCGTCCTCTGTTTTTCTCCATACAATTGTTGACGAATATCCAACTAATTTCACTCGAAATAATGATGATTATATAAAAAGACTCCACCTCCTGGGAAAGGAACTATGTACATAAGGCCTCTTCTAATGGGGAGCGGTCCGATCATGGGTTTAGCTCCGGCGCCGGAATACACGTTTCTCATCTATTGCTCTCCGGTCGGCAACTATTTCAAGGTGGGTTCTCGTTCCCTTAACTTGGTCCTTCAGAATTGAGACATTGAATCGCCTGCACCGCTCGACACCGTGGGGCAATCATCGATTTCATTGTAAAGTGACAGATAGCTTGGTTTACTACAGGAAGGGTTTGCGCCGTTGAATCTGTATGTGGAGGACGAGTTCCATCGTGCAACCCGTGGTGGAGCAGGAGGCGTCAAATCAATCACCAATTACGCGCCGGTATCAAAAGTGTTATAATTGAGAGTTCCCCTGCCTGAATTTATTTGCACAGTTGGGTGGACTAATTTTGGTCTCAACGGTGTTCAGGTTCTGAAAGCGATAGCTAGAGCCAAAGGGAACGGGTATTCCGACGTTCTGTATCTGGATTCGGTTCATAAGAGATACCTGGAAGAAGTCTCTTCCTGCAACATTTTCGTTCTCAAGGTACTAATATTGAACTCTTACATCAAAAGTATATAAGCAGGTCCTACAAAATAAAAATATTGCCGCGTCATTTACTACTAGTTTCCAATTCAGAAAGATTTTCTTTAAGTAGTGGAACCTTCACTTTCATCCCATCCAATATTCCCACCTCAAAATTAAACATCCACTCCTTTCCATCCGTTTTGTTTGAACGTGCTGTGGTAAGATAATTCGTGGAATGAGTTTCGAGAACATCAAACATTGATCAAAGTACTTTGAAGGTTCCATGAAATTACATGTTTATTATTACGTATAATTTAATTTAAGACCGTTTTGACATAGTGTCTAACCCTAAAACTCAATCAACTGAAATTTAAGTTTGAGGATGTAGTCAATAATCCATGAGTTCATTTACAGGGGAGAGTGATATCAACCCCTGCTGCAATTGGGACTATTCTTCAAGGTGTCACTCGCAAGAGCATCATCGAAATCGCTTCCGATCAAGGCTACCAGGTCTGCTAGCTATAGTTAAACCCTTTTTTCTTAATTTCGAGACAATTTCATACTACTTCTCTTCAATAGCTAAAAATGACACGCCTGCTCAGGTTGAAGAACGAGCAGTGGCAGTAGACGAACTGGCAGAGGCCGACGAAGTGTTCTGCACAGGAACAGCGGTGGGCGTCGCCTCCGTCGCCTCCATAACGTACCAGGGGAAAAGGTATTTAGATGAATTGATCAGCCGGCCCACATTAAATCTCACGTAGCTAGGCCGAGAGAAAAGGGAACTCGGTGGATCTATGGGATTATTGATCAGTAACTAAACAAGGTTTTCGTTTTTGTTTCAGGTTGGAGTACAAGGTTGGAGCTGAGACGGTGGCCCAGCAGCTGTACTCGATCCTGGAAGGGATCAAGAGCGGCGCAATCGAGGACAAGAAAGGCTGGGTTGTTGAGATCTGATGAGCACGTGCGGTTTTTCAGCTCAACGACATTTGGCTTACCTACTTACTTCATGCGAGATATTGGTAGCTGAGCCCATCTAAGGAAAGTTTGTACAAAAATAAAGGTCTTCCTATTATTGTTGTACCCCTGCTGCCTGCTTTCAATTATCCGCCAGCTAGCAACAAATGAATGCGGTACTTGCCATCTACCTTGCTTGTTGTTGGTTGACAGGAAAAAAACTGTGCATCCATCCATCCGCCAATCATGAATGTATATGACTATGAGGCCCCGCCAAGGCCTGTGCTCGTGGGCCCGATGTGGGCTTGAATATTGGTGATGGGTCTTTTCCAACTTGCTCAAATGTCAAATTGATTTTCACTGAATATTAGTATTAGGTACTAAAATCTTACAATAAAAAATATAATAATATTTTTTTGGTAAGAAAAAAATTTTAGGTATCAAATTGTAAAAATATATTACTTTCTACGCTGTGTTGGGCTCTTAAAATATCTTCAAATTACGGCGTTAGCACGTACCCCTTGGATTATCAAGGATAAGCTGCTCACCCTCCGTGCCTGGTCTCCGACTATCACCGAACAGCAGTTTGAAGGGATGTCTAGGGCGCCCTTTCGAATCCAACTCTGGGGAGTGCGAGATGATTGTCGCACCAAGCTGTTTGGTCAAAAATTCATAGCCGCCAGCCCGCCACTATTGGTCAAGTTCTCGATTCTGGCCTCTTTGTCTCGACTGAGACAAGCGAGCAATTTATCAAAGTGCGGGCTATGGTTGATTTTGCTAAGCCTCTTCGATCTCAATTGATGGCGGTTAGTGAGGATACCGATCGATTCTGGGTGAGCCTCAAATATGAATTTTTGCCCAGCTTTTGCTTCCACTGCGGTCGAGTTGGCCATGCTCGAAGGGATTGTGTGATTGATCCACCAAAAGGGAAGGAACGATTTGGTCCTCATATGGCGACCAAGAAATTGGGTCGTCAATTGTATGATGAGGATGATCAATCGAGGCCAAGTGGGGGACATAGAAGTTCAGTGTGGATTAATCGTCAAAGGCCTGGCATGGAGGGTGAGAATGGGCCGAGGCCTCCCACTGTAAAAGGGGATATGGGGCGTGTCCAACCCTTGCACCATCCACGACCCCAGCAGGAGGAGAATGTCTCACAGGTGTTGGAAAGGTCACCTTCGCGTCGTCATAGCCCTAGGGGCTTTGTAATGAATCGAACCCCCAAATTGAAGCTCGGTGGAGGGGTGGGGGGGAAGCAAAAGCGGAAGACAACAAGCAAAGAGGTTGAACATATGGGGCCCCGCGGAAGGAAGGGCTTGCGAAGGCCTTCCAGTCAGCGTCTGTCTAGCATGGTGCCGTCTCCCAAGGCGGCCGGGTCTCTAGCTGAAACCTTGGAGGCATCCCGGCGTCGACGGCTTCTACTGGAGGACGACTCTGACGATGACATGGGTGATCCGTCCCTGCACAGAGAGGGTGCAATTCCTCCATGCTCGGCGGGTGAACCGGTGATTCCTGGAAGTTCGGAGAAGGATGGCGTGGGGCTGGTCTCAGTGCCGGGCAATTCCAAGCCGGGAAGGAAGCTCCGTTTGAGGCGCAACACCATCACCACGGACAAAGAACCTATCGTGGAGACTCAGGCGATGGGAAGTGATGGGAAGCAGGCCACTGAGAAGAGGATGTACCGTCGGGCTGCTGGGACACATAAGAAAGGGAGGGGAGTCCAGATCGTGGGCAAGAATGATCATGGACATGCGAAGATTAACCCCCACCCTACGTCACCTGCCCATGCAGCCTCTTTTGATAATGACACTAATGGAGAGAAGGGTGGTGATGCGAGGTTACCTATGGGCATGGCAGCTGTCACTTTGATGGATAGTGTGTCCTGTGGGACGAATGCTTCGGAGGAATCGGGGACGGAGGGGGACCAGCAGTGTTTTGAAGTACGAAAACGTACTCCCTTGCCTTCCGCGGTGGAGTGTACTCAGGGCAAGGAAGGAAAAGTGGCCCGGGTTGTTGCGGCGTTTGAAGCAGGGTTACCCAAAGGTGCCCCGTTTGATGTCGATGAGGGGGAGACAAGGCTTAATGCATTAGAGGGAGGGACTCATAAAGTGGGGGTGGAGGTTATGGATGAATATGGGTCCAATATGACAAGCCCTGTATTTGTATCCCGTAAAAGATCCTTAGAAGCTGTAGATGGTGAAGTTGGATCCCCTCCAACGCCGAAGAAACATTTTGTGGAATCTGCTGATGGTGATGGAAATGAGAAGGTGGAGGAAGCCAGCCTAGAGTGGCCCCAGTCTGATAAATGAGGCTTCTGGTCTGGAATGTGAGAGGGATTGGGCCGTCCCTCACATTCCAAACTGCTGTAGGCTTAGTTCGTTCTAATAAACCGGATCTTGTGTTCTTTTCTGAAACACGATCGAGCCGGCGTGTTGTGTCCCTTCGCATGCGGGGTCTAGGTTTTGATAATTATCAGTGTTTTTTTGTGGATGCGGTTCATGCATCCGGTGGTCTTGTAGTAGCTTGGTCCCCCGGAGTTGATGCTTCGGTGTTTTATCATTCTGATTTCTGTATTTGCTCTCAGATTAATGAAGACAATTTTTCTTATATTGTTATTTGTGTTTATATTAGCTGCAATTCTGTTGTTCGAACAACCCAATTGGCTCACCTTCGGGATTTGTGTTCCGCCCTTACGCTTCCTTTTGTGATCATCGGCGATTTTAACACTACCCTTCATATGGGTGAAAAAGATGGGGGTAATCCTTGGAATGTGGCTCAGTCAGTTAGTCTGAGGGATTTTATCCAAGACCTAGGGCTTCATGACCCGGGTTTCCTTGGTGATCCGTTCACTTGGACTAATAGACGGATAGGTGCGGCCTGCATTCGTGAGAGGCTGGATAGAGCTCTGTGCTCCCAGACTTGGGTTGACCGATTTCCAGAAACCTTGGTGAAACATTTCACTGACCAGGGCTCTGATCACCGTGCTCTCCTTCTCTCGGACAAACCCTACGCTCGCAATAGTCGCCCTCTTTTCCGGTTTGATGCCAGGTGGGCGGACAACCCAGAAGTTAGGGCTATGGTTGGCTATGTCTGGAAGGAGGAGATTCATGGGACCCCCATGTTCTGTCTTTGGGAGCGCCTTAAAAGGCTCCGCCATCTGCTCTATGATTGGAGTAGGGCTGGCACTACGAATTCCCTGCGGAATATCAGAACCCTCCAGAGTGACATTGAAAGGGTTAAGCTTAGCCAACCGATTAACTGGGATGAGGTCAGAATGTTGGAAACGGGATTAAATCGGCAGTGGGAGGCGGAGGAGGAGTATTGGCAGCAAAAGTCTAGGGTCCACTAGCTGAAGAAAGGTGATAAAAATACCTCCTATTTCCATACAGTGACCAGAACCCGTCGGAAGAAGAATTTTGTGGAGGGCCTTCGTAGTGAGACTGGTGATTGGATTACAGATGAGAATGGCAAGGGTAACATTGCGACATCGTTTTATCAGCACCTCTTCACAACGGAGAATCAGGTGGCTAACATGGCTGAGCGTGTGGCAGGTCTGCCTATTGCCTGTAATGTTACCCCTGAGATGAATGCTAGCCTGACGGCGGAGGTTCTCCCTAGTGAAGTTCGGAAAATGGTGTTTGCCATGGGGTCAAAGCAGGCTCCCGGGTCGGATGGGTTCACTGATAAATTTTTCAAAACATTCTGGGATGTTGTGGGGAGTTCGGTCGTGGATGCGGTATGTTCGTTCTTCACAACGAGTCGTTTACTCCGTAGTTTTAACCATACCTGGCTTACTTTAATCCCGAAGGTTGATAAAGTGGAATCCATGCGGCAACTTCGGCCTATTAGCCTATGCCAGTTCGTTTATAAAATTATTACCAAAATCTTAGCAGAGCGGCTTGCGGGTCTCTTGCCTCAAATTATTTCGGAGGGGCAGAATGCGTTTATCAGGGACCGGCAGATTGTTGAGAACATACTCTTGGGTAATGAGTTAATGCATTATCTGAATATAAAAAAGAAGGGTAAGAAAGGATACATGGCTCTAAAGGTTGACATGGAAAAGGCCTATGATAGAGTCGAATGGTCCTTTCTTCTTGCTATTTTGGAGAAGATGGGTTTTAACTCTACCTGGAGAGGTTGGATTCAAGAGTGTCTCTGGTCCGCCTCTTTCTCTGTACACATGAACGGTACCCCCTCTGGGGTTTTCAACTCTTCCAGAGGATTAAGGCAAGGGGACCCTTTATCCCCACTGTTATTTGTACTCTGTACGGAGGGCTTTGCGGCGCTCCTGCGGCAAGCTATCCGGGAGGGACGGTTGGAGGGGGTTAAAGTGGCTCCTCGTGCGCCCCGTATCTCTCATCTATTCTTTGCTGATGATTCGTATTTATTTTTGAGAGGTACCCTCCAGGAATGTGAAAATTTGATAGAGGTGTTGAACGAGTATGAGGAGCTGAGTGGCCAAAGGGTGAATCTGGATAAATCCGCTGTTTGTTTTAGTAGAAACATTGTCCGTGAGGACCAGGAGTTTTTGGCTGCTATCTTAGGAGTGGGAGCGGTAGGGGTCCAGGATAAGTATCTTGGGTTACCCACATTGATCGCGCGTTCAAAAATGGCCACCTTCCGGTATCTTGAGGAGAAATTATTAGATCGACTCCAAGGGTGGAAGCAAAGGACATTGTCTTGGGCGGCAAAAGAGACACTGATAAAATCTATCGCTTTGGCTTTGCCGTTACATGTGATGTCATGCTTTAAGCTTCCTGTCTCGTTGTGTCGGTTACTGGATAAACATGTGGCCCGCTTCTGGTGGGGTGATGCTGTGGACCAGGGTCGGATTCATTGGGTGTCCTGGCGAAATATGTGTCGTAGTAAGCATGAGGGTGGGATGGGGTTCCGTCGTTTTGAGCAATTTAATCAAGCATTATTAGCTAAAATTGGATGGCGTATTCTTATGGAACCTCAATCCTTGCTGGCTCAGGTTTATAAAGGTAAATATTTTCCAAGGGGCTCGTTTCTTACTGCTACGGCCCGTTCTCGTCCTTCATGGGGGTGGCAAAGTATCCTGTATGGTAGGGATTTGCTGGAGAAGGGCTTGAGGTGGCAAATTGGGAATGGGAAAACTGCCTCGCTCCTCCATTCTAATTGGATTCCTTCCCTCCCGTTGGACCCTCCGTGGTTTAACCCTCGGGTTTTACCAGAGGAGGGTGACCTGAAGGTTGAGGAGGTAATCTGTCCTGGGGAGGGGAGATGGAATGATCAAGTTCTTAGCCAATGGTTTGACCCACCGACGTGCAGAGCCGTCAAGACTATACCTCTTCCACGACAGTTGGTAGAGGATAGGTTAATTGGGCATGATTCCCCTGATGGGGTGTTCTCGGTCAAGTTGGCCTATCATTTAGCAGTCTCTCTTGATAAGCGTCGGGGGGGTTGGAAA